TCTTAACTGCTTTAAGTATAAAATAACTTAATTGAATGACACGCTTATAAAATTCATCGTCTTCAAGCTTACATATTTTTATGAAGATAATTAATAACTACACAAAGAAATAAAAAGGTTGCAAAACATAATGCAACTTGAAATTTGATTAAAAGTAATCCAATAAATACACATTTTAATCAATTTTAAGGTAATAAATCCAAATACCTTATTGGGCCAGTGCGTTCCCACTGTAACCATCTTTGGGAAAACGCATAGCTCAGAAAAGCCAACGTCGCACCATGCGAAGACGAAGGGCAGGATTCTGAGCCTGGTCGGGATTGGAGTGTTAGTGCCAGTGTTATTTACCAGGCTAAATTATTAAACGATTGTTAAACGAGCGGATAAAGGATGAGCGTGAATGATGATGATGATGCTGCTGGCCGGGGAGGAAAAAGGAAAATGGCAGGGGAAGGCTGACAAGAGGGTGTAAAGTCCTGGCACCGGGAAAAATGCTCGGTGATGGGGGAATGGGGAAGAGCAGGAGGCGGCTGCCTTGTTAGCTTGCCAGCTGAAGGGGAAATTTGATATTAGGTAAATTTATTTGATTTACATTTTTATGGGGCACCCGTTTGGCGCACAGGGTGGGTGGATAATTCCAAACTGGGTGGAATTTTCCCTGTTGTTTGCCAACGTCGTTGTCGTCGTCCTGCGCTTATCTCACATAATGCCGGCAATGAAGATAAGAACCTGTCTAGGGTGGGAATAAAACGGCGCACACCGCACCGAATAGAATAAATAGAGTAAATACAAAATGAATTAATAAAAATGGCAGCAAAAATAATAATCATAAACGAGTTTGCGACGCACGACCAGCTTTTTTGTTGGCTTGCACCGAGAAAAAAAAAACCATTTCAGTTTCAATATATTCACTTATTTTAATATTACTATTAAAGGTTAAAAGATTAATAACTAAAATCATTATATTCGAAATCATGTTTAATTGCATATAAATGTTTAACGCGTATAAGTGACATTACAAGATACATTAGAAGCATCTTCTTATCATCTCTGAGTGATAATAAAAATAATTAAAAACCTTGTTAATATATATATTTTTGGAAATACTGATCTCATTATTTAATTGACAAATATTTTGCATTAATGGCAGTTTTATTTGCATTTTTTCGACCGTTCAATTATTTTCTATAAGCAAAGTGGGTGATATAAAAAGGCTGCGCTGTCAATCAACCACCCGGCGATCGAAGCCAAAGCCACCCACCCACCGAAGGCAATCAGTGCCAAATCAGAACTTTATTTATTTGCTTGTTGTTTGCCAAACATTTACGCCATCAGCAAAACGACACCCGAGAGCTCGTTAAATGCTCAGCCATGCGGATGTAATTCAATAAACGAGCGTTGTGCGCCATCATCAACACCCCACCGTTTAGCAGTGTGAGTGTGTGTGTGTGCATAAGAGCGCCTCTGTATGGGTGTGTATCTGTGTGAGGCAGCCGCAATTGCCACAACAGCCGCTGTGACTAAATGACTGACTGACAACCGCAGGGTTTCGCAAGGGGGATGGTTTATTTACTCGCCAAACAACCCCTCGAAAAGCATCCCGAAATCCCCCGACTTCAGCCTCCATGTTCCACCATTCTCCTCTCGTCCTGCAATAACGTTTATTGAGCCGACTTTCGCAACAGCCTCGTCCTGCGTCCTTCGGAAATTTCTGAACTGTCAACATGTCAACTGTTTGTTGGCCGGGAAGGTTATTTCTGGGACGTCGTTTGTGTTTGTTGTATTTATCCATGGGGTGGGTGGTAAACGCTTTTTCGGCCTGTTTAAGCGATTTAACGCATCGCAAGGATAATGAAATTTTGATTATGCGCCGCTTGGCTGGTTATCCTGGGACAGTGCCGCCCTCTGTTGGGCGGACTGGTTGCTGGGTCGCTATGAAATTAGCCTCATTTAGAGGTCCTTTGATATTGGGGGATGGGCTTAAACTCGGGGAGTTGCTAATTATCGTTGGAGAAGGATGGCAGTGAACCTGCAACTCACTCAATTTTATTCAACTAAAATGATACTTTAAAATGTTAATACTTAAAATTTTTATATCTGATAGAATGATTACCATTCTAACTAAGTTTATTATAATTGATTCTAATTTAAACTACCAAAAGAATAAAAGGCAGAAACAAATTAAATGCTTGTATCAACCCATTAATATATCATAGTCTAGTAGATCTCATATCCAGCTGGTATAATAATCAATTTACTGACTGGGTAATTGCCCACTCTCGGATACAAACAATTATGCAATTCAATTCTGAATTAATTGCACAATAAAACACCAAATTCTCATTTAATTGCCGGACAAAAAAAAGCACACGAAGCCAAAGTAACAACCCACATAAATATGCAACACCCACATACACACCCACTCAATCATTGCTAACTATATTCCTCCTCAACCCCTCTTTCATTTATAGCTTCTAAAATCAAACTCGAATCGGTCGGCGGGAAATATAAATTCGAAAAATTATGAAAAACTATCAAAACATTTACATACGTTCAGGGGAGTCGGGAAGGAGAAAAAAATTGGCTTGCTCTCTTCGATCAACGCACATAGTGTTGCCTTGCTGGCATTTAATTAGCTAGTTTCGGCTTTAAATAAAATGAAAACTTTTAGGTTTTTTAAACTTCGAAATACAGATGTTAAAACAGTATTTTATTCTTTTGAATAATAACTTATGCAGTCTTTTTATTTAGTTAATAAATATTACAAAAAAAATAAATTTCTTGGAATGAATAAAATGGCGGCTTGATAATAGTTTAAAAAACGACCAATCGGTACAATTTTTTTTAAAATTTGTAATATTTTAAGTACCATTAACAATTTCGTATTTAACAAGATGTTTTGAGGTTCAACATAGCTACTTTTCGAAAACTACAGTTGTCAGCACTGCACGCAACCAAATCGACGGCCATTTATCAATTGACCAACTCGGCCGAAGCGTGGACTTTTGTTGGTGCTTTTGTTAGTGGCCGACTTGCTGCTGCTTTTGCCGGTTTCGTTTCATCTTAACTTGATGGCCGAAAGGGGGAGTTGAGTGGGCTGGAGCTCGCTTATGATGTTTATTGAAAAATTAATTTGCGCCTCGTTTTTGTATTTCTTTTTTCGGCTCTCATTTGCGTATTTCAAAGCGCAATGAATAATGATGCTGGTTAAGTAGAGAAAAATAAAAGAAACGCTTGACGTGCTTGGCCTGAGAAATTAATATTTGTAATTGGCTATAATTGTTTATGCCAACGGCACAAAGTGTAGAAAATGAGACGAAGACAATGATATTAATGAGCAGAGCAGCATCGCAACACATTTTGCAGCCATTTCGAAATGTTTAATTGAAAAGAAAGCTGAATTGTTGGGTCTCTCATAATGAAGTGCTCAACTTTGGGAAGTAGGAAAATGTTTTAATCAAAGGAAGCGATGTGAAGGGGCGTTGGAAAAGTGGTAGGAGATATATAAAGTGTTAATTGAATAGCTGGGAAATGTGTGAAGATTATAAATACATTTATTGCCGGGGCTCTTTTGAAGTGAAATTTAATATAATTATAGAAAATGTTAGTCTTATGATAAAACATTTAGAATTGAAAAGAAAATAAAATATTAAAAAAAAATTCTGAAAAGAAATAACTTCTCTAATGATATATTTTCAAGGGCCCAAATCGTTCCTCATGTAGAATTGTTGACAACTAATTAAGGGAACCACACAGCCAGCCATTCGTCAACTGTTCTAATTGAGCTCTTTATGTTCCCCCCACTGGCAATTGCCATTAAAATCCTTTCACCAACTTGCTACCAGAAAACCCAAGGAAAGCCCCAACCACTAACACAATCCAACCCCCCTCCCCTGTCAACTTGGTCCTTCGAGCAGCGGAAAACAAAGGAGCAGCTGAACAATGGCTGGCAAAAGTTTTCAAGCCAACAATTTCACATAATAATCCTTAAAATGAGTTTAATTTGTAGAGCCGAAATTATAAACAGAGCGGGTTTGCAAAGGGTTTTCGTTTCTTTTATGCAATTTATGCCGCAGTTCTTTTTAGAGTTTATAGGGTATGGCAAAATTCTATATAATCCTGCATATTTCACGTTTATATGTATGTGATTGATTTGGCCGGGTCCTGGGATGCTCGATTTATGGGCCCCGATCCGATTTTTATGGCTTATCTTTTGAGGTGGGCTGGGCACCCGAAAAGGAGCAGAAAGGAAGAAAAAACATAATTTCCTGACCGAGATTGCAGCTTTGCGATAATGCTGCTCCCCTGTCGTTTGACGATGCTTGGGTCCTGATAATGATGGACTTATTATTTATTATATTGTTTATGCTCGCTAAGGACATGTAGGAGTACCAATTAAAATCCAAAACCCATGAAGTCTATACATATGTACATATATAGCTTAAAACATCACTCCAATTTGGCCAAATGAAGTCATGAGGGAAAGAGATGGGAGAAGGAAAAACCAAAGAAAAGCCAGAAAACCAAAGTGGAAATGGACAAGCGTTTGCCGCCGCTGCTTGTTATAAAATGCTAATACGCGCAGCAGCTCAAAAAAAAAGTGGAAAAACGCTTTGAAGATTGAATTATTCAATAATAATTAGGCGTGTGAGAGAGACGGTTATAGCATGAGGGTAGTAGTGCACCATCTCTTTCTGAAAGAGTGCTCAAAACTCACCACACTGAAGCGAGAGCGAGCGAGAAAAGAAGGCGGTGCAAAGGCAGAAAAGTGGAGAAATAAGAAACTCACACAGAAAAAAAAGAGTGAGAAGGCTAGTGTCAAACCAATAAAAATGGTGTCGTGGTGTAGGGGTTTCTATGTAAGAGAGAAAGAGAGCTACACTCTGCACAGCCGGTTTTCCACCACCAATCTTCCGCTCTCAGTGTGCGTGAGTATCTGTGTGTCTCACTGAGCCAGCGGTGCATCCGAAATCGCCACTATAGTTCAGTCGCAGAACAGACGTGATCTCAAGAGGACGTGTCTCTCTCTCTGAACAAAATATACAACTCTAAAAAATAAATAACGCCGCGTGTATCTGTGTGTGCGTTCTCGACGAGACAGTGTGTGTGTGTTTTAAGCGCGTGTGATTAACAAGCGCATTAATTAAGAGTTAATCGAAAACAAATTAACAGCAGGCCATGTCTCAATGAAACAATAAACCGCCATTCAAAGCAAACGTATCACAGTGAACAGTCGGTAAAAACAATCGAGAAAGAGGCTTTATGTTAAAGCTCAGCCCAGCGAGCATGACAGTTACCGGTCTGCGACAGACGATGACCAGCCCCACGGTGCCGCCGAGTAGCAACACACCCGCGGGCAACATTACCAGCAGCAGCAGCAACAACAACATGAGCGGGAGCAACATCAGCAACACCCAAATCCTAAGTCCAGCTCACCCGGCTGGCCTCAATCCCCTGGCCAGTCCCACCTCGCCGTCGGCACTGCTGCTGGCCCACCAGCAGCATCTGTTGCAGCAGCACCAGCAACACCAGCACCAGCAGCAGCAGCAACAGCAGCAGCAGGCGGCCCTCCAGCTGGCTGCAGTGCATCCGCCGGCCCATCACCTGCACAAGACCACCTCCCGACTGAGCAACTTTAGTGTGGCCTCCTTACTGGCGGATACCAGACCTAGAACGCCACCAAACCAGGGAGGAGATGCACCCCAAAACCTCACCAGTTCGGCGGCCACCTCACCCATTTCCCAGGCCAGCAGCACTCCACCTCCGCCGGTGTCTTCGGCGGCACAGGTTCCCGCCAACACCTTCCATCCCGCCGCCGTGGCGCACCACGCCCACTTGCTGCAGGCCGCCCATGCGGCAGCAGCGGCTCATGCTCAGCACCAGGTGATGGCCGCCCAACTGAGGCAGCAGCAGCAGCAAGCGGATGCCCGGGCCAACTCCCCACCCGCCTCCACGACATCCACGCCCAGCTCCACACCCATAGGATCAGCTCAAGGATCCGGAATCGTAGCCTCCACTCCCGCCAAAAACGAACGCCATTCGCCAATGGGCAGTCACACAGACTCCGAGCTGGAGTACGACGACGAAATGCTGCAGGATCATGAACCCGATCATGACGAGGAGGAGGACTCTATTGTGGATATCGAGGACATGAATGCCGACGACTCTCCCAGATCGACGCCCGACGGCTTGGACGGCAGCGGCAAGTCAATGGAATCTCCGCACGGTCCTCCGCCGGGATCGCATATGCAGTCAGCAATTCTTTCGCCGGCGGCCTTGGCCTCCGGTCATGTGCCCATCCGCCCGACTCCTTTCAGTGCCCTAGCAGCGGCGGTTTGGACGGGAATGGGAACCGGAGTGCCGTGGCCAGGGGCCAGACAAATGGCGCCTTTCGGACCGCCTGGCATGTTTCCGGGAGCTGGATTCGGTGGAGGTAAGTGTCGCTTTCTTTGAATTTACCCTGGTTAAGTGGCGTTTTGCGGGAGCTTGTTAGTGGTTTTTGCACTTCCTTAAGAGGAAATGATAAACCTTATCGGCTACATGTGCTTAACTTTTATATACAAATATATTTTAAGCTTTTCTGAGGGGAAAGATGTTAGATATGTTGGCTATAGCAAGTTGGTTAGGAAAATATACTTCGATAGTCAAAAGATTTGTCTAGAAGAAATAACAACTTAATGAAATAAATTGTATTCAACATTTCGTTGATTTTTACCTAGCTATCAATTTACTTTAAATAAGATAACCTAACAGAAATTGAAGATATTGGAAAGTATTTCATTTTACCCTTTCCCTACTTTTATAAACTTTACTTTCCAAAAACAGAGCATGCGAAATTACAAAAAGGTAATAATATTTACTTTTTGCTCTAACATACCTTAATTAAAACACACAAATATTTTGTTTAACCTATGAACAATAGAAATTCGTAAAATTCCGGGCAGAGCAAAGATCGCATTAGCAAGCAGCAAAAGTGAGATATGTATTTAAAAACGATTTATTTAATGGAGGAATTTGCTCCGCACTCCCGCTTCGCCACCCCCATTGTTTTATGCCCCATTCGCCGTGGCAAGTTTATCTACACAATTTTGTGTCGCATTTTAATTCAATTAACTGCCGCCCCTCGCCTTAATTGGCATCGATGGTGACTCTCCGCCCGGCGAACTGCGGGTGCTCCATCATGGCCACCTCGTCGTCATCATCGCGATGAAATGGAAACGATCGTGACTGCAGTTGGTAGTCAAAGTGCGTGGCAATTATTGCGGGGCCTTAAATAAAACAATGAAAAATGCCTGATTGCTGGGCCCCATTATTTGATGATGATGGGGCTGGCAGCGTCGCGTCGGTTTTGATTTGACTCAATTGGCTCTGTCTGATTATTCATTGCACTCGGTGGTTACCGCCGTTTTTCGGTGTTTTCCGGTCTGACAGCCAGCCCCCTTCTATCGTCCGAAAATCGAATAATAAACGCATAAAAACCGGACTGTCTAACTGGCCAGACTAATTGAAGCGAGTCTGGCGGGCTAACCAGCCGATCTCTATCTGCATGCACAGTTCACACTTTGCCTGCATTTCCTGGACGCTTTTCGCCCACAAAAAACTATAGGAAAACCCAGGGAAAACACTCGCTAAGTCACACTTTGATGCCGGACTGACATGTGAACTTTACTCGGCCATCGCGAACTTTGCGTTTCCGCTTTTTAAAGTTGCCCAACACTCAAAAAAGGGCGGTGCAAAAACGCTGCGCAAAAAAGTGTAAATTTGCTTTTTATATGCAGCCCAGCAACTATTGTTCCTGTTTTTGTTGTTTGCGGTTTGAGTGTTTTGATTTTTTTTTGCCATTACAAGGCATTGTTTTATTAAGCTGTCGGGTTGCTATAGAAAAAGAGCTCTGAAAGGGTGTCGCCTTAGGGAATTTGGGTTTTAAAGTAGGTTATGGATTTTCAATTTAAAGTTTTAAAATACTTATCCTAAATATAGGCGTTACTTGCATTTCAAAAAGATTCTTTAATACAAAATGCATTGTTAAAATTAAAAAAATTAAATCTTGAATAGGGTATGATGTTCAAACAACATTAATAAGAATATATACAAAAAATACAATCTGATATCCCGGAAAATGGTTTTAAATACAAATTAAAAAATCGAAATAAATCAATCTCAATGTGGGCCATCAATTCCAGGCCCTTCGTCAGCCACTTGAGCTATCTTTTGTCCCAATGTCTCTATAAAGAGGCCATGGCGACGGGAGAAGATGAATAAACTATTCCAAACATTTTCCGCTTATTTTGTCATTTGGCTGTCAACTGCTGCATGTGTATAAAATATTGCCGAACAACTTCATTTCGTTTCGTTTCATTTGGCAGCTGTTTTTTTCTTACTCTTGGCTTCGGTTTCTTTGGTTCCTGTATTCAGCGTGTCTCATTAGCGCAGCAGGTTGCTGTCTTTTGTGGACTGATGATCCCCTGTGCCAGGGGTTCTACTTCTGACCTGCGCCGCTATCTTCTGCGGCATTATGTCAAGTGTTAGGTACTTAGTGCCTCGGCAACTGGAGATAGAGGTTGTATCGTTCGGTTGGTCGGATGGCAGGGCTACCGTTTGTCGGCGCTTTCATGGCCTATTAAATTAAACTACCTCCGATTAGACTAAGGGAACGCACACACGCTAACAAGGTGGTTGTGTGGGCCGTTTAAGTTGGATTTTCATTTAATTTTTCGCCCTGCCTTTGCGGCTGCATTTTTTTGCGCCGACCATTAGATTAACATTTTCGTGTTGCAATATGGGGAATTCCCTTTTGTGCCTTCATAATTTAACTAATTGCAAGCGCAGTCAAGTCACGTATGGTGCACATGCCACCCATTTTTTTGCCCATTTGCCAGCCCCCCCTCTCTTAACCCTCTCTTGCCCCCTTTAACCCCTCGCTCTTGTACAACCACCACGCACTGCAGCTGCAATTCTTGGCAGCCATTATAGAAATTAATTTTCAAGCTGAACAAACGAGCAACAACTTGGGAGTCATTGCACAAATACATAGGGGCAAACAACGGACTCGCACACAAGTACACAACTTGTTGGTAAGTTGGTAGAAGGGAGAGAGAGAGAGCGAGAAAACCTGGCCAAAACGGTGGGTGTGGCATGTCAGCAACGCCCACCCAAAACACGCAATTTTCAACAGCCCCGGCAGCAATTTAAACGTTGACAGACGGCTGCTGGCCGGCGAAAAGTGAGAAGAGGGTTAAGGAAGAGCAGTGGCAGTGGGCAAGGGTGGGGCTAAGAGGGGCTGTGGGGGGTTAAGACGGCCGTTTGCATGCGTTTTAACACCATTTGCAAGGCTCCTAAACGAGAGAGTCAAAAGCTAAAATAATATTTGCATTCTGCACGCCATCTAACGTGCATAAGCTGTACCAAATACACACATGCAACACATGGACATAGGTTGAAAGGGGGGCTTTTTCGATTGGTAGTGGGGTGTTAAGGGGGCTGAGCAGGGGGCGTGTGGCGGCGCAGACATTTTGATGTATGTTTTGGTAAATAAAATTTATTTGCATTAAATTACCAAGCCAGACAAAGCGAAAGTGGATGGCATGGGTTAAGGCAAGGCATGTGGGTGTTAAAGAGGGGTGCCATCGCAAGGTGTATATGTGTGTGTGTGTGTATCCGTGAGGTTGAGAAAACATTTGCTAAATATTTGTAGACAATTGGTAGTTCAACTAATTTGAGCTGCTGCTGTTGGATGTTGCTGCTGTGCCTCTGGTGTTGCTGCTGCGGATGTTGCTGCTCTGCACCTGATTAATTAAATGGCATTTGGAACCTGTCATAAGAGGCAGCCCAACCCACGGGCTATCTGAACACTCTTATCTTGCCCAGAGGCAGCGAACTTCATTGCAAAACAGTCTAAATAGATATATGGCCAGCACGCAATGTGACAAGATTTTCAAAGAACTGCCAGTGGGCAGTGCAAGTGCACTGACAAAAATATTTAAAAAGCAGTTTTGGTAAATAATAAAGAATTAAAAATATTAAATATTGGGCCCATTTGATAATATTTTTTTTTCTCAGTTGATTATATATTTTATTAAATTATTATTATTTTTCTTTGACTATAAGACCCCATTTTCTCCCGTGTAGACTTATCTAAGGCAACTGGTTATTAACACGCTTCTGGCTAATTAATTGACTCGTTTAACCGGTGTTAGGGCCCCGACTAAAGTAAATTTTAATGTTTTATGCGCCCAAGGAATTCCCTTCGTCCAGGACCTTCGCAATTAAACTCGCGGCTTAATCATTCATTTAGACGATAAACACCTATTTGGTGCTAATTAAAATCCCTCATTATGAAATCGGCCCGAGGAGGCCCCCAAGCGGTTGCCGTTTTGACCGTAAGCGTGTAATTGCATTAGCCATCCGGCCAGCGATCTGCCCATTTGGTTGTTCCAATCCTCCATATTGCTCAACGGTTTTCACTGCAAAAACGCCGTGTAGATCGCTGGATGGATGGTGCTATGCGAAAACGCTTTAATGAAGAATTAATTGCCAGCAATTTGCACCGCAAATCAATCGAGCGTTGTCACCGTCGGCTATATACAGCGATTGCTTTGGATATTTGGTATTGCTGTTGCTCCAAACGATACGCGTAAATTTCACAATTGCTTGTTGCCTGTCTCATTTAGCTGCTGCTGCTGTTGTTGTTGCTGTTGCTGGTGTTTTTGCTGTTGTTGCTCGATGGTCTTATACGATGTCTCGTCTACAATACACCGGAGAACTCAAATTAATTGAAAATCCATTACAAACATAGGCTAAATGTCACAATTGGCGTTTGTGGCATGTATTTGCGCTGGCAATGGCGATGCTGGCGACGTATTGCCCCAGCAGCAACAGCACGGCAGCAACATCGCAGCACCAGCAGCACAGCAGCAACATCGCAGCAGCAGCAACATCGCAGCAGCAGCAACAACAATGCCTATAAAAGAGCAAAAAGGCGAAAACAAGTCTCGCACTCTGGTTTCAACGTGCGTCTCTGTCGCTCCCCCTTGAATCTTGAGTTTTTCCGCAGGTTTTGCAACAAGCCAAAGGCATTCGGTGGGCGGGGCAGCGAGGGGGGCGGTAAATCCAGCTCACTTGCAATGGAAACCCCATTCCAACAATTTAGCGACAAATGAGCAATTAATTTTGAAATAAATGTAAAGCAAACTGAAACGAAAAGAAGGCAAGATTGGAGCACGATATGGCATATAAATAATGGTAGTTACAGAGGCGGAAAAAGGGAATTCATATTCATATCATAGATTAAACATTTAAATACTTTTTCAATTAATACTCCTAAGATTTGGAAAGCATTTTATTAATTCATTTTAAACCGAGAAAGTATTTAAATTAAAGTCATTATAGTACCAATATATTTTTGTTAAAAGAAAAGATCAATTAATTTAAAAATATATTAAGGCAGCAAAGTAAAGAAACTAAAATCAACGAAACAACCATGTTTGGGCCATAAATTGCATATAAATATTAAAGCCATGCAGAGTATAAATATTATTATAAAGAAAAACTCGTAAAAGCCAAAAACTCAACCTGTGACAAAAGCGAAAAAGGGCTGTAAAAGTTTGGCCGCCTCGTTTATATGCTAATTTGGCAACTAATTTATGGTCAATACAACAAGAGCGACAACAAAATACCAAACAAGACAAAACAAAATCAAAACTTCACACGGAATGCAAGCTGACTAAGAGAACAAGGCGAATAACAAAATATATTTATATTTATAGAGGCCGCGTCGCGGAGTCTGTAACAAATTTCTGAATGCAGCATCTTCATTATAAAGTCTGGGGCACCTGGAATCATCTGGTGGCTTTATCGGGAGTGTTCACATTTCGTTTCACCTTGTTACGGGCCATACGAAATGCTTTTACGACCTGCAGCAGTCTGCAGCCCAGAAACTGAGGCACACAAATAAGTGAAATAATATGCATATCGACCGATAAGGCCGGAGCATTAACATAACTCCGACTTGTCACACTAATTACTTAATGAGCCAGTCAGCCCGTTCAAGTTCCCCCGTAAGCCAGCTTGATTATTAGTTTTGATTCCATCGCGAGTTGAATTTTTATGGGCTTATGGCAGCCCCGGCGACATTTATATGTTTATCGAAAACAAAACATAGCAAAATGTGTGTGAACACATCAAGTTTTAAGGACTTGTGAGCTTGATTTTGATGTTTTAGGATAGTAAATATTTACTAGTCCTTTTTGGTAATGAATTCATAAAAAGAGACAGGGTTACAGGCAAACTTGTAGTATTTTTTCTATAATACCCTGAAAAATTAAGATAGTTGTACATGCCGTTTTTGCTCTGTTTAGGGATTACATCGATGCCTTCTGTGATTTTACGAGGTCTGCCCTTCTGTTATTGTTGTTTAATGCATCGTTGCCATATGCAGAGCATAAAAAGCAATTACAAAAGCATGCAACTTGGCCACGTTTGTCACTCGGCAATTTCAATTTGTGCAATTATGCGTAAAATTAAAGCGTTGCATATCATTTGCATTTGTCTTTATTTTGATTCGACTGCTGCCTCTGTTTTGCCTGAAAACAAAATGCCCAATAAATTACGCGTGCCCGGGAGGAAGATGGGGACTTCGAGGGGTAGGGGCTCTAAAGATCTGACCCGGACTGACTGCATCTTTAAAATGCCATTTGCATCTTTGTGGTTTTGGCGCAGCCCCGATGGCAAGCTCATTACTTTCATTAACAACACTCCCGGCATGCAACTCGCAACTTGCAACTTGCAACAGCTGCTGCTTTAACCCCCCTTTCCACGGATCGGCCGTCTTTATAAGGCCTGCACGTTTCTTTTTGCCTTCTTTTTTCTTCTTTTACTTCTCTGTGCCTTTGTTTGCCAAAACAAAATGCCCAAATTAAAATTGTTTTGCTGTGGAGAGAATCGAACTGAGATATTGCCGGGGAATCGGTGGGAAGAAGCTGAGGAGGTAGTCGAGTGGGGGGGATTCACTCGGGGAATGCATTTCCCGTCTCTGCCGCTGCGGCTGCTGCTGCTGCTGCTTTGTCTGACAAATAGTTTAGACAGCAAATTTATTGGCCACTTAAAGGAGTAATTACCGTATATTGTTGCCGCTGCCGCTTTTAGCCAAATTGACAAGGCCAAGGACAGCGGCAGTTGACAGCACATTTCATTCAGCATGCGGCTGGGCTGTGCCTGTTTAATGATGCAGTAAAATCTGCTTCAAGCGGACAAAGCCCTTGACAACTCATTTTTGTAAATAAAATATTTCTAAAGCTTCTTAAAAAAAATTAAAAACAATTAAAAGAGTAAAATACAATTAATTTAAGTTTTAATTAAAAATATTTACTACAGTTTTTAATGTCTTTATTGAACAGACAATCGAATTAGCGGGCAAAGTCTTATATATTGATAAAAAGTTGTAATTCAGCTAAATTATAGGTTTTTCTATTAGGGGAATAACTTATTATTAGCGGAAGCCTATGTCCGCATAAGAGAATATTTACTGTAAAATCTCCCTTATCTCAACCATTAAAACAGCCGACTAATCAAGTCATTTTTCATTTATTTTCCAGATGCCAACGAACCGCCGCGGATCAAGTGCAACTTGCGGAAACACAAGCCCAACCGGAAGCCCCGCACACCCTTCACCACACAGCAGCTGCTCTCGCTGGAGAAGAAGTTCCGGGAGAAGCAGTACCTGAGCATCGCCGAGCGGGCGGAGTTCTCCTCGTCGCTCCGGCTGACGGAGACCCAGGTGAAGATCTGGTTCCAGAACCGAAGGGCCAAGGCCAAGCGGTTGCAGGAGGCCGAGATCGAGAAGATCAAGATGGCGGCCTTGGGAAGGGGGGCGCCGGGCGCCCAGTGGGCCATGGCCGGGTACTTCCACCCCAGCCTGATGCACCTGGGATAAGTGGCGGCCCAGTTGGTGGGCGACCGCCATCGGGTGCGCCACCAACGCCCACTGAGCCACAGTCCCCATCATCATCATCATCCTGGTAACCAAATAGCCGCTGTCGCCGGTCCTCGAGCGGAAACCCCCAAAATTTTGCTGTGATGTTAGCGCATTTTACGTTACGATACTTCCAAATGTTGTTTCAAATGCACACCCTGTAAATAACTATAAGAAACCAAGAAGCACCCGATTTAGCCAATCGAACTTTGTATATAGCAAGAGCAAAAGCAAGCAGAAAAATGTTTCCTAATTGTACATAAATCTAGCATGTAAACCCAATCAATTAAACACCTTCGTTCGTTTGTTTCGAGTAATCAATTGACAAAAGGATTGAACGTAATTTATTTGCACAACTCAAGTCAATAAGCGTAAAAACAACATTAACTAAATTCATATTTGATTGTATTGTATTTTGCAACGTAAGTCAGTCTAGAAAATGGATCGATCGTGTATTTAAAAAATACTTCTAAGCATCTAAACTAAACTAATCTAATGCTATAACTATGCCGTTAAAAGTACTTTATGATAATACCACAGACCTATACATATAGTTCATACATGCATATTATATTATGAATACCATATAGCGTTAATCCTCTGTAGTTGTTTAATCATAAATCATAAAAACAAAAATGTGAAAAAAATAATACAAAAACATGCAAAAAGAGCAGAATGAAAATCATACAAAAATCATTGAAAAAATATATAAATATACAAAAAAAAATTATTCAAGTCGTTTTATTTAAATTAGGTGGCTATGAAACATTTACAAACGTAAGCTAGATTACTTTTCGTTTCATTTCCTGATCTGAATCCAGATTTAAATTGCACCATTGTAAAATCTCTAAATATATTTGAATTGATTTGCTTATTTAAAAAATAAAAAAATGACCATTTTGTTTCAAAAATTCTAATTATTTCAGTTCGTGAGGAAAATAACAATTATTAATATGTAATTTAAAAAACATGATTGATGCACTAACAAATCTTTTAAAATTACTCATTTGATTTCTTAGGTACAAAGTATCTCAATGACGATTACGCTGATTATGTGGATGTTCTCTGTTGTCGACAGCCTCATTAAGTTCAAGGAAACAATATTTTGTTTTGATTAAAAAATAAAGTGTTATTTTCAACGAATTGATTGCAAAAGATCGACTGGCTGCCATATGCTGTAATACATTGGTATTGCAAAGCCCTTTCAAATCAGGAATGAAGTTAGAAAAACTAAAAACAGTGACCGCAGCGAATCGGTGGAGGAAAAAATTAGCAAGTTACGAAACGAGTAGCATCCATATAACATCAATATTCGCGTGAAATTGTAGAAATACCGCTGGCACCGTCGCACCCAATAAAAAGTAATATAATGAGTTCTGCGGATTGTCATGGGCATTTCACAATTTCGCCGTTACCCATTATTGACTTTTCCCGTAATTCCCATAATTCCAGCTGTATCATTTAGTGCGATCGTGTCGGATAGAGCTAAAACAGAGAAGTGTCGAAGCATCCTTATCGGCTGGCAATTAATATTTAATTAATCAGGCAATCGGTTGCCGAGGCAAAAAGCGCTGGCCCACATGGCGTATTCGTATTGCTAGCAAGTAGCTCTTTATTTAAATATATGGCAGAGGTTAGCGCTGGCAATCAGCGAATTACGATTGGAATTGAGTGATTATCAAATTGTTGGCATTATAATTTTTATTTCTGCGCGATTTGTCGAGTGACATGCGGGGTTCAATAACGAATACATTTTTTCTTTATTTGTTGTTGACAGTTGGCCGAGCGTCAATAGCAAAACACTACGTATGGTTTTTGCCTTTTCTGCCGTCGACTCTTATCGCCTGGAATTAAAACCCAATTAATTTAATTACAAATGGAAATAACACGCCGTCGGCGCAGCAGCGAGCAGCACGTCAAATAAGTTTGCTATTTTGATTTATTTACGAATGGCAAACAAGTGTTGGTGCTCTGCGCAACTGGGTGTGTGTGTACTAGGTGTATTAGTGCGTGTGCTAAATAAATAAATTAAACTATTATTTGCCAGCTTATGCCTGATAAGAAATGAAAATTTCTGAGAACTCAGCACTCAGCCCAAATATTAGTTTTATTGTTTTTAACTTGGGGTTTTCCCTACCCGAAGGCACTGAGATCAATTATTTGCTGAAAAAGGTATTTAAAAAATAAAATTGAAGATGTTTTAAAATAAAAATTAGTTTTATGACATTAAGAACTTCAAAATATTAATTTGAATAAAATTTCTTGTAATTTTTAATAAGTCCGTAAAATAAAAAAATGAAGCTGAATTGAAAGAAATTCAATAAAAGTACAGCTATATTCAGTTTTACTAAGCCATTTTAAATTTGGTGATTTTTTTCCATTTTCCTTTATACTTCTTTGTAAGCAACCTTACTGGCTGGCATCTTTGCTTATTTATTCAAATTGTTTATTTCTAAATTATACTCAACATGCAGAATTAACAAGGTTTGATGTAATTGTCGTAATTCCGCTCGACACATCCAACCTCACCTGCTTGCCACTCATATGATTTGATTATAATTTGTTAACAATTAAAGGCAATCGTGTGATGTTTTATTGGGTAGCAATAAAATAATTAAATAAAATATCCATTTATTATTCATCAAGTATTGATAAATGCGTTCGCCAATAAAGGCGAATTCTCTACGGCAGCCGACTGTTTTTATCTCGGATGTCAAATCGATTGTCGCCGCAATTAATTACGCGTATATAATTACAATGCCTGCCTACGCTGACGCCAACGGTTGACGCCCAAGCCCCAAGAATCGGGATTTCACTTCGAATAGGGCGATCGGGGAATCGGTGGATTGCTGGATTGGTGGCTTGGTGGATCGGTCTGCCAGTGACTGGTGGCTGGGCCCCCTCGTTCCTTTATTAATTAGGCTCGGCTACGCCTTCAGGTAGCCGCAGGTGGCTCTGCATGCAAAACGCACCGCGCTGGAAAGTGCAATGCGTTAATCAAAACGTAATCAAATCATTTGGCAAGCGGCAAACAGCCTGAAACAGAAACCGAAAGGAGACCAAAAACGAGCCTAAAAATGCACAGACAGAAAATGTCATTCACATTGTTTGGCCATTATCTCTTGATTTTTGTACTATAGCCGTGCAAATAATGAAACAAATATTGGATGTTATACCTTGTTAAACTTGTTACAAAATTGCCGATCTATTAGCGTTCCATCCTGAAAATGATAAATTTTTTTTTTAAATGTGATTTTACCCCTTTTGAAAAATTTTAAAATTGGAAAAAAAAATTTTACTATTAATCTGATGGTCATTAAAGTAAATGTAAGTAATAAAATGTTGCAGTTCTGGAATTGTTTTTGACCAAAAAAAGCAGTATTGGCCAATACAATGCAAATAATGGGAGTACCACGATGAACAAGTAATAAAATGATAAATTTTTGAATTTTAGAATTATACTACATTCCAACTTAGTTTCTTTTTCCCCAGTGTAGTCAACATCAGGAAAATGAGCTGCATCGGCAGCACAATCACAGCCTGGTCACATTGGTAGCCTGCTGCGATTTTGGCCGAGTCCGGCAATTAAGCTTTATATCGGGCCTAATGGACCGAGCGCCGCCTGCGCTGATTGCGGGCATTTGTTTGGCGTCGTCGTCTCTTTCTCTTTGTCCTGCTCCCTCTGTCTTTCTGTTTCTGTCCCACTGCTCAGGGCCCAATCAAACGTATATATGTCTGTATATATAGCGGGACGCGACCCCTCGCCCCATCCAAAATCACAGCTTGATATTAACGCCCAACTGTGAGGCGGCGCATTTACAATGATAATATTTGTGTTCAAAGTTATCAATGGGCCAGCCGCCAACGGACTGAGAATGGGAATCGTTCAATCGATACAGACGGAGGGACGGGAGGACCCAATTGGGGCAGAGCAGTTAAGATCTGCTTACAACTTGATTTCAGTTGTTTTCTGCTTAATTGATTAACTACAGATTAAGCTTGATTAACTACAGACAAATGTTAGAGCGAGGTTACATCGTGTCTACACAGAGGGAAAACAATACACGACTTTAGGTGAATTTGCATATATCTTTAAATTTATGAAACATTTTATTTTTGTAAAAAGTTTTAACAAGAGTGTTGTCAAATTTGAAATTCAATTACATTTTCTGAGTCAAAAATTAATAGTTATAGTTGGATGAAACACTCCAAATAATTTAATTTAAGTTAATTTTCCTTAAAAAAAAGATCAATATATTGACAAAATTATGCGGAAATAAATTCATAGTGTCTATTAAACTCTATCTTACAACCAGAACTCAGTTCATACAAAAGCATGCCACATGGATAGTAACACCACTTTGGAAATGGAAATCCAAGCATAACATTTTTTAATTAACACCCACAGACGGACACATGCAAATGAGCTCATTATGAGCTGATTATGCAAGATATAATGGATACTGGAAAAACTCCACCGTCTCCCGCGTAAATAGTTTTTCCAGCCCAACACCAACATCTTCATCAACCGACGGCAAGTTCAACAAACGAAGATTGCCCAGAGGCAGATATATACTCGTATATTCACAGAAGATTCATTCATAAAGTCAAGCGAATTGGAAATCCGTTTACTTAACCCGCTTTTGGCTGGGGAATAAACCTGGTCCGCCATATATTCATATAGTCGTAAAGACTCCTCCGCAGACGGCATGGCGATCCGATTGGCCATTAACTCGAATGGAGAGCACTCGCAATTACCGCGAATAAATTGAGGTAATTAGGTAATAAAAATAATGTTTTCACCTCGTTATTCGAGCCAGCAGCAGCTGCTCTCCATCATTCCCGGAATCGTTGCAACCACCTGATAGGGAGGAAATAAACCGAACAGCAAGTGCTCCAGTCTTCGGTATTAAATCTTCAGACTTCAGACTCTTCAGCACATCTAGAGCAGACAGGAAGGCAATTATTCGATTGATAGGAAAATCAACAGAGCTCTCTGGGAAAATTTGAAAAACTCCTAGTTTACCACACGTAAAGAAACTAAAGAAATTCAAATTTAAAATATCGGTACATTTAATTAAATTTAAATCTAATAAAAAAAAAAAAATAGTTTTTACTAATATTTTTAGACTTTGAGCTCCTTGATTTTTTTAAATTTAAAATATTATTAGTTCGTTATTAATTATGGATGTTTATATTTATTTATTTAATGTACATTGCAGACAATAGTTGCAGACCTAATAAGCTAAAGGGCTTCCCTGTCTTTCATAGCTATTAATGCCAATAGTTTTTGTATTTGAACATAAGTTCCATTTTATTTTCAGAACCTTTTACGAAAGAGCATTTAGAGGTCTTATATATATATCCGCCAAATCTTCAGAAAAACTGTGTCCCAAAAAAAACCGCCTTTTCCCTCAACTCAGTTTATGCAAATTATTCATTTTCCACGGAATTCCCTGGCCGTCAATTAAATTTTTTGTGCTCCTCTTTCCACTGAACACTTTGTTCGCACTTCGGGGCAGCCAAAAAAAAAATAAAAAACAATTTTATATCCATTTACTTTTCACTTAAGCCAAAATTTCCCTTTTGGGGTTACGGACTTTGAGTCAGGTGAGTTAGATACATTTTGTGGGTTTTATGGCTTGGGCTAAGCACTCTTAATTGGTAATTACAATTTGAATTTCATAGCGGGTGAG